CAAAGACAAAGGCCTTGGTGATACGGAAGTCAAAGATCCACACGGATGCCAGGCACGACAGAATAATCGAGATGCTGGTTGCGAATCCCTTCAGGATGTTGTCTGCGTACTTGACCACCACAGCGACGATGAGCCCGCCGACCGCCTGGCACGCAATCGCACCTAGAGTCCAGCTCGTGTATCCGTAAAAGAACCCGTTGGTCCTGACCCCCTGCCCGTCGACCACCAGGACGCCAAACAGCGCCGGGATGGTCGAAAACAGCGACAGCTGGACGTTGCGCGTCCACAGCGACTTGCGCGACCCCTTCAGGACCTTCTCGAAATACACGCCCGCCAGACCCGACAGCACGCACGCGACAAACACCGTGAGCAGACCCATCAGGTTCGCCGACTGCCCGTCGGCACTCGGGACATCGTCGCCAGACGGTAGCTGCACCAGAATAACACCCATCGTCAGCAGCACCAGCGACGCCCACCGCATCATGCCCAGGACCGTGCCCAGCAGAATCACCGAGCATAGCGCCGTGGTCAGGATCTTCAGCTGGTACGTCACCTGGAACGTTGCCGCGTCCAGCAGCGACACCGCCACGTACTGCAGGTTGTTTTGGATCGTGTAGAGCCCCGCCGGAATCAGCATCTTCCAGCTGTCGCCGCCCAGCACCTCACGGTACACCGCAGAGGGCACCAGCTGCCCGTTGTGCTCCTTCATGGTCTCGCGCGCTGAGATGTACAGGCACACACAGAACTTTGTCAGCTCGCTCAGCAGCACCGCAGTAGACGTGTAGTAGCGCGTGTCGCTGACTACGCGGGAGTACCGCATAACCAGGACCAGCATGCTGTTCTGCACCGTCAGAATAACCAGCGAGATGTACTTTAGTGGAACGCCAAACAGCTCTGCCATGGTCCAGAAGAGATATGGTAAGAGTTTTTGTTTAAAAGCTATAAATAGGGGAGGAGAGAAGAGGAGGGAAAATCAGCGGGTTTGGGGTGAGGAGAGGGGGGGAGAGAGGGAGTGAGGGGGAGAGAAGAAGAAACATGAAGCAGGACTGTTGGCTGCAAAGGCATGCGCTTAGGGATGTGGTCCGGACAATGGCGCTAGATCACTCGAAAATTGGTGCCGATCTCCTCGCCTTCCCAGCGGCTGCAGCAGCGAGCGTCGAGGGAGAGAATAAACAGGTTGCGAGCGAGCGCAGACGCGCCTCCCCACCCTTTCCCTCCCAAGTCTATTTTCCCTGGCCTATTTCTGCCACTCTTGCCAGACACAGCGATGCTCAACACAACCGGCCCAGACAGCCTGCGCGACGAGTTCTTGTCCGAGCTGCGCGACCACCAATATGGCCTTGCCAACTTCTCGCCACCCAACCACCTGCAAAGCACGCTGACGCTGATCGAGGGCCACCAGATATCAGTGACCCTCGACACGCGCGGCTACACGGTGGCCAAAGCCAGCGGCAGCGACATGGCAGGCTGGACCGGCAAGACCTTCGAGACCCTGACGTCATTATTATCCGCTGTGAGCCCGCGCTTCAACAGCAGCATGCACCAGGAGCTGTTTTCCAAGCTCCAGGCGCTGGCTGACTCGAGCGATTTGGGCCAGGAGCAGATCCGCTGATGGCCCAATCACAGCCAGGGCCTTTTATTTGCCTTCCCTCCGGCGAATTTTTTTCTCTGGCGTGTTTTGTGGGCACGCATGACTCTGCCCCGTCGCCTCTTCTCTCTCTCTCTCTCTGAATCACCCCAGTCGAAAACATTCATATTTATACCACACACTTCTTTTGTCGCTGCCATCGCCTCTCTCGATAGCAAAGAACGCTTCTTCGTAGCCTTTTACATACAAAAGACACAGAAAAAGACACAGACACAACCCCCCAGGTCAAACAGGTCCCGCGCTATTTATTATCAGCCGTCTCTCTTTCTTCCTTTTGCTGCTTAATGAGTACTCAAGTCTCCAACGAAAAGCCCACTTTGAATGGTGTCAGGATTCGTACTCGCAAAGTAAGTGCCTTTCCAATCTGCAGTGCCTTGATTCTAGCCAGCCGGCAGGATTGTAACCGATTGCTAATTGCTAATTGCAACTTCTCGTGTGCTTCTCTTTTTGGGGGAGATATAGCGTGACGCTAAGGCTAATGCCAAGTATGAGCCCGAAGGTAAGTTTGCTGTCTCGTTTGCTCCTCGCCGATACCTCCTCACAGCCGCAAAGGATTCTAGACGTGAAACATTTCATCCTAAACAACGTGGGTTTCAAGGAGAGCTCTTTAGATTTCAGGGACAGTCTTTTCCAGGTAATTGAGGGCATCGAGCCTACCGACTTTAGCAAGATCTCAGCCGCCCTCGACACGGCCGGCAACACGCTCGACTACCGTCGCTACGGAGACACGTTTTTCGAAGTTCTGGTCACTGGCGGCATCATCGCACCGGGCGGTATCATTGAAGATGACGAAGAATTCGGCAAGCTGCCATTCAGCCTGTTTGTGCTGGCGGACGCCAGCGAGCAGGGCGCGCAGGACTGGGCCAAGCTGATCACGCGGCTGACGCGCCGGTACAAGTACCTGGAGCGGATTTTCACGGAAGCCTGCAAGCACATTCTCGAGAACGTGCACCGCTACAGCGAGGCAGACAACAAGAAGCTGTCGCAGGGCCTCGGCGTGCTGGTGGCGATCGGATTCCTCCCGATGGATCCGTTCCGCGTGCTGCAGAAGGACCACCTGGTCAAGGACGGGCTGGCGCTGCGGTTCATCACCGATGTCATGCGCGAGTACCTGAAGAACCACTCGGCCAAGCAGCTGCATGTGGCTCTGATCCGCGGCAAGATCGACAGCCTGGTCGACTTCTTCCCGGCCAACAAGCGCGACGACGACTGCTTTGCGCGGCACTTTGAGGCGGAGGACATGCCGGCGCTGATTGACATGCACATTGCGTCGCGGGCCAACGCCAGCCGCAACGACTTCATTGCGCAGATCGAGAGCATCCTGCGCACGGCCAAGGCCAACGACGAGGACGAGGACGAGGACGACATCCTGGCCATCAACACCGAGGTGGCAAAGGCTGCCAAGGCCGCCATGCGCACCAACAAGTGGCCCGAGGAGGAGGCAGTGCAGCTTGTGTGGGAGGGCATCCTCAGCGCGGTCGACTGGGCCATGAAGCCCGAGCAGATCGAGAACCAGGTCATGGGCCACGTCAAGCGCTACACGCCTGTGCTCGAGGTGCTCACCACTGCGCCCAAGAGCGAGATCAAGCTGCTGCAGTACGTGCAGAACTACTGCTACGAGGACGCCAAGCTGATGAAGTACTTTGGCAAGATCATCCAGGTCCTGTACCAGGACGACGTCCTGTCTGACACAGCCATCCTCTTCTGGGCCAAGAAGGGCGCCAAGCCCCAGGGCAAGGCGGTGTTCCTGAAGCAGACCGAGCGCTTTGTCAACTTCCTCGAGGAGCAGGAGGACGACGACGAGTCTGACGACGAGTAAAGCAAGCCTAAATTTTATTTTACGCGCCCGCCGGTCATGGGGGCGTTATCAAGGAAATGCCAGTAATTGTTGATTTCCGAGATCTCTGTTTTGGTGCCTTTATGCGGTGCTGGTGTGGAAAGTGAATTAAATTTATCTCTCCTCTGCTTTTGCGCGAAAAACCACAACCTTTAAATTCCATTCCAGCATGCCCGGCCTCAGCAGCGCACTCGGCCCGCGGTTCCAGACAATCCTGGCGTCGGCGTGGATATCCAAACGCACAGCAGCCAAATACGTGCAGGACTACGTGAAGCAAATTCAGACGCAGCCGTCGACCGCGCGCGAGCCGATCGCCTTTGCCCCGCCCATCCAGGTGCAGGTCCTGGAAATCGACGACCGGTCCCCCTACGACTCTCTGGACGCCATCAACGGCGGCGAGGACTCGCTGTTCCACGCGCGCAACAAGCAGAACCTGGTGTTTGGCGTGGCCGACGGCGTCGGCGGGTGGAACGACTCGGGCATCGACCCGTCGGTGTTCAGCCGGTCATTGACAGCCTACTCGGCCGATGCGGTGCAGCGGAGCTTCCTCCTGCACGAATCCGACGACGTCGACCCCAAGGAGGTGATGCGGCGGGCGTTTGCCAACATGCGGTTCGACCAGATCCCCGCATACGGGAGCTCGACCGAGCTGATTGCGAACCTGTCTTTGGCCACCGGCACTTTGCGGACAGCGCAGCTCGGCGACTCGACGTATGTGGTCCTGGACGCAAAGCAGAAGGCCAAGTTTGTGTCGGCCGAGCAGCAGCACCGGTTCAACATGCCGTACCAGCTGACCATTCCGCCCACCGGCGACACGCCGCCGCTGCCCAAGAGCGACCCGGAGAATGAAGAGAACGCGCAGTTCTTCCGCCCCCAGCCGCAGTCCGACCGGGAGCATGAGGACTCGTTTGCCGATCTGACTGCCGTCGGCTTTGATACTCCGAATGATGCGCGCGAGGACTCGCACAGGTTGTCGCATAACGACGTCGTGGTGGCGGCGACCGACGGGCTGTTCGATAATGTGCGGGTGGAAGAGGTCGAGAAGTTGGCGGAGCGGTTCATGGGCGCCATTGACAAAATCTCCAACGTCACCAAAAACGTCACTGGGCGCCCCAAGGCCGATTTGTTCGGCGGCCTGGCCTACAGCATTGCAGCCCAGGCTGTGGCTAACTACATTCAGCACGACTTGCGCTCGCCGTTTGCTGAGCGCGCAAAGCTCGCCGGATACAATTACGAGGGCGGGAAGCCTGACGATGTGACGGTTATGATTGCCTGGGTGCGCGAGAACGCCAAGGTCAACCAGGCCAAGGCAAAGCTCTAGCTTTTTCTTTCCCCCCTTTGCGTGTTTTGCTGTCATTAATGCATCCGTGGCTTTTTCTTTGCAAGTGGTGCTGAGCGGTCCTGACCGGATAAGCTAGCTAATGACCCTTGCTGCGGATGAATCATCTACCTGAAACACCGCAGCAAATACACTCTGGATCTGTCAGCACAGGGTAGTAAAATACCGCTCCAGCCATGCCAAAGGAGGCCAACCTCGAGCCGCCTGGCATGGCCCAGATGCTAGGTAAACAAAAAGCTCTCCCCCCTCTCCACATGAAAGCTCCATATGAACAACAGCAGATAATGGCCAACGGTAAACCACCCCCTGCAAATCCGCCATGCGCAGCACCAACAGGGCAACGGAGCAGGGCTCGCATGCTGACACGTCAAACAATGCTGCTTCTGCTAAATCGGCGAACCGCAGTCTATACTTAGCCCTGCAGTCTATTGGTCCGAGTTGGGGTAAAACGCATTTGCTACGGCTGCCGTCGAACAGCAGCTCCTGGAATAAGCTCGTCACCCTCCCCTGCCACAAAAAAGCAGGAGCAGCCAGTGCATATAAAGAGCAGCACATATCCAATGCCTGGACCTGCCTGGAAAACACATTTCTATTTATTCCTTCTTTCCTCTCATCAAAATGCCCAAAGCCGAGAAAATTAACCACCGCTCCACCACGCACACTCTTCCAGGTGGTACTTTCGTCGGCGTGGATATCAAAGGCCGATGCACAAAAGTACGCAAAGGACAATCTGAACGAGTTTAGGGCTGGCCAGTTCACATTTTTACCGCCAGTCCGCTATGAGACCGTTGTCATTAACGACTCCACTCCCTACAAGCGACGGGAGAGAGCATACTCGGGCGACGACTCGATGTTTCATGCACGCAACAGGGACACCCTTGTGTTTGGTGTGGCGGATGGAGTCGGCGGCTGGAAGCGTCGGGGAATCAGTTCAGCCAGATTCAGCCGTTCGCTGACTGCGTACTCTGCCCATGCCGTGGCAAGGGTGCAAGATGGCAACCCAAAGGAAATTATGCACAAGGCAGTTGCGGCTATGAAATATGATGGTATTCCGGTATATGGGTCGTCAACTGAAACTATTGCCAGTCTGTCGCTTAAGACTGGAACTCTGCACCTTGCGCAGCTGGGCGACTCGCGGTCTATTGTGCTAAATTGTCGCCAGGAGGCAGTGTTCGTGTCACCAGGGCAAGTCCATTCGCCCAATATGCCATACCAGATTTCGTTTCGCCCTCCTAAGGACACCAACACTTCGTATGGCAGTGCTAGTGGCCAGGTGGATGATCTATGCTACTACCGGCCGCGAAAGGACTATTCGCTGCTGACAGATGGCGCTGAGAGAGAAATCATCAGGAATTTGAAGCGTCAGAAAACTGATACCCCCCGTGATGCGCTGGAAGAGATCGTCTACCTGGCACACAACAATATGGCGATTATTGCTACCGACGGGCTGTTTGACAATATGGACGTAAAGCATATTGAAAAATTGGCCAGGAAATATGTCCGTGAGCCTAGCACAGCCAGAGCTGATAGTGTATCTTTGACACGATTTACTTTCAGAATTGTTCAGGAGGCTGTTTTCAACTACCTTTTGCCGGTTATTAGACCGGGTACACAAGGTAGTCGCTCGCGTGGTGTTGCCGCCAGGCAGTGTAAGCCTGATGATATCACCGTCATGGTTGCATGGGTACAGGATATATCGTAAGAACCACTGTTACCCGAAAAGCAACTCGCGTGCCAAGGTCTTGGCTACATCAGGAGAGCATATAAATGCCCTTCACTCCTCCGCTCACCAACTTTTCTGGGCTGACTCCCGTCCGTTTGTTTCCACACCATATCCTTCGGAATATATTGCATAGTTATTTCCTCTGGTATCCACAATAACCCTGGGGATGCATGATTTCTCGGCAATATTGTTAATGGCTTCATTGAAATGAAAAATTGCATATAGCCGAATATCATTGGCATTTCTTTCTTTTTTTGGGCGAGGGGTCCGTAAATGGTTATGTGCGTTTTTGGATATAGCATCATATCCGATGGCGTTGCATGCTACCCTAGCTAATCTCTACATGAGTTGCTCTTGCCAAGCGACCATTCAACTATCGCTGTTATTTTATGGCTATGCTGTGTGCTCATATGCAGAACAGCGTTAGCTAGTATGCATAGCGCTGGACAGCATGTAAGCTTGAGCAAAAATATGACAGAACAGTGGGGGTTTGGGCTGATCGGCGGCTCTGGCCAGAAACAAGTCTGAAAAGCCACACCAGAACCAAGTGTCGAAACCGGTTTTGTAGCTGCCACCACAAGCAAAAAATCCTGCAGCACTATTTCGACAGATTTCTTTATGCTTGCGAGAACTGCCTCTTGTCTTGCGTTTCAGTTTTTTTTTCAAATTCACCGAATGAGCACCGAAGACGACTCGTTCTCCTTGTCTGCCGACACACTGGCTGTCCTTCAGTCATTCCTTGACGAGAAGGAGGCAATGGACACGTCGTTCGAGCGGCTAAAGGAAAAGGCAGAGCAAGACTTTGACGACAAGCAGCTGGAGGTTACCATGGATATGTTCCAGGAGGACTGGCAGCTAAGCCAGTTTTGGTACGACGACGCAACCGCCAACTTCCTGGCCGACACAGCTCTCCGGCACACAGAAGAATCCGACTATGTAGCTTTCATAAGTGCGCCCACTGCCTATGTCGCTTTGCGTCGCAAAGACGCTGCACGGCCGCGCGCCTATGTGTTTGAGATTGACCAGCGCTTTGGTGTATTCAAGGACCAGTTCGTGCTCTACGACTACAACAAACCATTTGATTTCACAGGCGCCGAGTCGCTAAAGGGCAGATTCAAGTTCATTTACACCGATCCGCCATTCCTGAACAGAGACTGCCTGGGGAAGATGATCGAGACCATGAAGTTTTTGGCTGCGCCTGATTGCAAGGTGATGATTGTCACTGGCGCGGTGATGCAGAGGCAGGCCAGCGAGGATATTGGTGCGCGTGCTACCGGGTTTGCACCGACACATCGTGGCGGGCTGTCCAAACGAGTTTCTGTGCTACACCACGTTTGAAGACGATCACCTCAAGTGGATTTAAGGCTACCACAACCCAGACCTAGCATAGTTTCTATTGTAATGAGACTCATTAAGTATCCTATTGTACAACCTCATCAGCAGCAAATACATGCTATCAACCCAGACCCTCTGGGATTGGAAATCGTGTGGTCGATCTGACAGCGAATGGCAACAACGTCTAACCGCTGCCATTGAATTGGCTGCGAACTCTAGCCTCGGCTCCCTGACTTGTTAGTGCCTGTGGTTCCAAATCCTTATGATCTTAGGAACCCATGGATCAAGACCTTTAGGCCACAATGGCCGGCCATACTATTCTGGGCGACCGGCGCCACTACTTAGACGGGCACCTGCCCTTTCACCTGGTGATTCCTTCTTCCTTCTTTCATACAGCATATTTCATACGTTCAATATACGTCGTGGAAAGGTGCTCGAAAAGTAAACGTGTTCTAGACAGTTGCAGGAGGCTGTCTATCCAAGTGTATCGTACCCGAGACACAACAGTGCCAACCCCCGATGAACAGGTAGCATATCCTCACATTCAAAACTATCCGGTTCCCCATTTACTGTTGCAAGCTCGACGGGGTCAGGGTAGAACTTGCAATGGCAGTCGATATGAAAGGAGTTAGCCTGAGCCTTTCAGCAGTACCACCCGTGACCACATTGGCAGAATGTTTTTAGGGACACAATCAATTGCTACCTGGTGTGCCGATTTCGCAGCTTCGTTTATCTTTGGGCGCTAATGGGGGCGACAAAGGATTCCAGGTGGGGCCTCGTAGCTACAATTCTTACAGTTCCCTTCAGTTTCAATATCATACTGCTCGTTTTCCTTAGGAATAGCCCACAGAGTATACATGCAGGCTTTTCTTTCTCCAGAGAGATTATATTTATGCGACCCATGTAGACGAGAGGGGTCAAGTATTCTGGATGGTTGAGTGCGATTAGGTAGATGCCGACAAGGACTGGAATTCGTATGATAAGTACGAGTTGCCAATTACTGCTGGCTGAAACCGCATTTCGTTTCCACTCCTCACAAAAAACACTTTTCATACTAATGACGAGCTGGGCTTACACTGAGGCCATATATTATTTATCGAGTTGGCCACATCTGTGACAACAGTATTCCTTTGGATGATCTGGATGATGTCGATACCTATATCCCATACCTCCAACTATAGCATGTTTGCCAACGCTGGAGGGCCGTTATAAAAGAGATCCTCTATAATAGCACGCCTATTTTGTGCTACAACCCAACTGCCGAGCAACTAACTCTATATGGAGAAGCCTCTGACCCAGACCAGCTCGCTTCCCGCGGCATACATCTTGCAACCGCATCACCCGCTGTTGACATTCAGGTCCGGAGTCCCCCTGCGCCACCATGGACAAAGCCGAAACGCATGCGTACAAAGGCCCAGACAGACGACCAGCTTCCTTCTTCCCCTCAGTCACTTTTGAGAAGTTATTTTTTCCATATATTCGATAACCACTCATCCCTAGGTTAACAGCAGACACTGCTTTTAGTAGTCTTTTGGCGGATGTCATGTCATGAAGCAAGTTCTTTACCCAGCATATTCACGCCAATCTGCTGCTGCGAGTGACACCATATGAAGCTGACTCTGGCTGCTGCCAGCATGCATATTCTATTAGCATTGTAGGCCTGATTGTTGTGATTCGCCAGGCCAATGTCAATCTGCTTTTTTCACAAGGCAACTGTGCCAGACTCATTTCCGCACTTCCCTCCTCGTCCTTTCTCTCAAAAATCTAACCTAATTGATATCCACTATGTCCTTTAGTGCTCAAAACACCCTATTGCTATCATCAATAGGATCCTTGACTACGTAGTCCAGCAGTTTCCAAAGACGCCATATATTACATATGGCTGCTGTTGTGGCCCATATGCGCGTCTGTTCGCAGTTGCTGGTCTGTGTCGTCATTGGCGAGAGGTAGCAATCAGCAGGCTGTTTGAGGAAGTTTGGTGGTGCAGCAAGACGACGATGACAGGGTTCTGGAATATGTGCCGCAGACAGCCTGACCCGAGGAGTCTCGTAGCGGCATATAAGACAGGCAACCTGTTTCGTGTGAAAACCGTGCGGATACATTGGATAGGCGAGGATATCGTGGACGGAGCTCCTGAGTATTCAAAACTTCCCCTTTTGATACACTGGTGGTACCCAGCACCACCACACTGGTGTTTTCATTAATGCACTCGCATGCTACGAATGGCGTACAGAAGTCTGGATTTGATAACCATTCATGCCGACATTCTGCAACGAGATCCACCGGATCTTCCCAATTCTCAGATCGCGGCTTGTCAAGTCTTGCAGCCTTAATGACTATGTGGATACGCCATTTGTTTTCGCAGTCTAATATCTGGTCTGACCAGTCGCGCTACCGCTGTCTCAACTACTTTGTGGTCGATACCCGCATACAGCTATCCCCTTACCAGCGTTGCCAATCTATTGAACTGGAATCGATATCAGTGGCCCAGATTCGCCCCTTGATAGAAGTCATCCGTCGCAACGCGTCAGCACTAGAGCATGCTGGTCTTAAGAGCCAGTATGCAGCGGTGTTTTCTAAAATTGTTCAGGCTGACGACGGTACACCGATCGTATACCCACGTGTAATGCACTAACGATCGCGTGTGGTGATAGGACTGGCATCTTGAGAGCGCTGCTCTTGGTTCACCGACTGGAGCGCCGTTCCCAGCACTTCAGAAACTGACATGCCTGCTGATTATCCTTTCAGCAACGATGTGCTCTTTAGAGAGAACAGTTCAACACTCGAGTGTCTGAAGATTTCCCTTTGTCCTCGAGCTGCTACGGATCTGCGGGGCTGGGTTGTATTTGATGCAGGCAGATTCCCCGCGCTAAAATACGTCAACTCCTATATTGACACGAGATACCGGGAGGATGAGCGTACAGACCAAGCTAGGTGTCTCCTTGTCCTCAGCGCCAACGCTAGAATATTATTCACAAACGGAGGCAGCTGCTTGTTTGACAATACTGGGCTCCCATTGGCAAGTTGGGCGGAATATCGTACAGCTGCAAATTC